ATTGCCACATTACTATCAGTATGGATTTTAATCTTGGAGTCTCTTGGGATAACTTTAGCTGCTGTAATAATAGAGCATATTTCAGCTACATTATTTGAATATTGATCATTAATATGGAGGGATAAAGATCTAACTGGAGTGTTCATATTGGAGCAATCATAGATATTAATCCCCATTCCAGTCTTTGATTCGAGTCTTGATCCGTCAGTGTGAATATCAAAATTATTTCCTGTTTTGATTTTTTTCAACTTGAATTTCATTTCATTTTTCTTAAGTGTGAGGTTGTATTCTTTTAGTACTAGTAGCCATTTCGAATAAATATTGTCTTTCGTTTCCTCACAGTGCTTGATACCATGTTTGAAAGCTTTCTTGACGAGTAAATTGTTACTGTTAGCAATTAAGGTCATGGTTCTTAGGTTCATTCTTTCAGAAAATTCTACAATAGATGGTAGTCCTAATCCACCTTTTTCTAATGGTAAGTGGAATAAGCTGGTTGGTGTTTTCCTGTCCATATATAGTTTTCTTCTAATTGCTCCTCTAATGGCTATATCAATTTGAGATGAAAAGAAATATGGCAACTAATACTAGACCTAACAAACGTAAATCTAATTACAATCTTAATCAAATAATTAATGTAATTTGCTACAAAGATGTTACTAACGAATTTGTTGAACAAATTACAGACCTACTCGGTGACTCTGTAATCATTAGAGTTAATCGATACTGTAATAATATTATTAATGTAATTTGCCCTGATGAAACCAGTTATAAAGAGTGTTTCAATCAATTAGTGCAAGGAAGTCATGGAGGAAAATTCATATTAGAATGCTTTCCATCTCCAGCAATCTTTAATCCTAAACCTTTAGCACTTTCACATACTACTTCCAGTAAAACTACTCACCTTAAAATGCTAGAAAATATTATTAGCAAATATATATTGGAAGATAATATTTCTGTTGAGGAACTCTACACTAACTATTCTCATAACCAATTTATAATTAGAATATCATTTGAGGATCAAACTATTGCTCTCAAATGGCACAAAATCTTGGTTAAATCAATATAAAACTATA